CTGGATTATCTACTGGGAATAACTGTGGCTGGATTATCTACTGGGAATAACTGTGGCTGGATTATCTACTGGGAATAACTGTGGCTGGATTATCTACTGGAAATAATGATGACTAGTTTATCTACTTTAAATGATATACAGTCTAGAAAAGTTTTCAAATACAGGAAAATGTCATGTGTTCTGTTTATAAATTTATAAACTGCATGCTATATGTTCCAGTGAAATATCAAAGAAAAAAAAAATGTTTTAGATCTGCTTTAGTAGTCATGCTTCATTTATTCAAAAATTGATAACTTAGAAAAGTTTTTAAATACAGGAAAATGTCATGTGTTCTGTTTATAAATTTATCAACTGCATGCTATATGTTCCAGTGAAATATCAAAGAAAAAAAAATGTTTTAGATCTGCTTTAGTAGTCATGCTTCATTTATTCAAAAATTGATAACTTTGACTTTTTCGTTTAAAAAAAACTTTTTTTATAATTCCTAAGGCTCGACTGTACACATTACAACAATAACAACAATAACAACAATTAAAAATGTATACACATAGCAACATAACTGGTTTATATATATACAAAAATAGCAATTTATCACAACACATATAATAATTATTTTGATATATCATGCACAGATTAATCTAGACCATTCGGGTCCAAAAAATTGTCTAATTCCCATCCTGAATTAAACAGAAAGAACAAATTCCTTTTGATTTACATCCTAAATGTACAGAGAAAGAACAATTTCCGTAACTCAAAATTATCACTTTTTTGTTAACTGCAACTCTTGAATGGTTGAAGATCCAGCACTCATAAAAGGTTTTGTTAAGTGTCCGAACACATGCATAAACAAAATTGTCACTGCTAAAATTATATATATGCATAACAATATCACTACACAAACATGCCTTTTGAGTATGTCAAGGTCATTCAAATGCACAAACTTGATAGTCTTCTCACCAGGCAAGCTACAGCCTACAAGTCTAATATCATTACCCTGAGTATCATAGGTTTATAGATGTGGTCTAAACTCTTCAAAACATAATTCTACTGTGACCTTGAAAGTTGGTTAAAAACCATACATTTTATCCCATACAATAGCCCAGCCCTATCCAAGCAAGTTTCAGGACAAATAGCTTCACTCCAATCAGCATAATTCTGTAGATTCAGGTTCAGAAAATTCTCAACATATCTGGTCCCTTTGACATTTAAAGTTCGTCAATTGAAACTTATTTGAAACAGATTTGATTGCCCTTCACCCACATGTACAACTGCTGTTTAGTTCCTCTTGTCTGGAAACAAATTCATCATTTATCCCAGATAATGATGACCAATTTTACAGATATTTATACAGGATTTTGCTATAAGATTCAAGACTTGTTAGGGGTTTTTTTCCATGTAAAATCAAGGCCTGAAATATCTTCTGCTAGTTTCGAATTCTTAAAAATTGAGATCTGGATGAGTAGCCTGGATGCCTTTAAACTTCCAAAATAAACACCCAACAACCCTAAAATCAAACTCTGGTCGGTAGTCTATAATCTAGAAATTAACTGTAACAAATCTTTCATTCTTATATTTTCTGAATTCATTTTTATGAGAGCATTCTTGTTAAATTTAAGGGCTATTATACATATCAGGGCCTTTTCATCAATTTAAGGACTTTTCAAGGCCAGCCCTTTCCAAACCCTGTCTTAACAAATAAATGCAATACAAGTCTTTATCACACATTGTAAATAACACTCAGTTTTGAACGATGGTGGAGAATACTGTATATACTAGAACAGCTGATAATTCCTTTGAAACTCGGAAATGTCTGCAAGACATGGAACGCCCCCTTTGTATTAAGTTTGATGAAAATCTGTGAAAGAATGAAGTTGCTAAGTGTTAACATTGAATTGGGAAGGGACGGGACAGGACGGTGTTTACATTGAATTGGGAAGGGACGCGACAGACATGGGCAACACTATATGCCCCCCTACCCCCCATTTCATGGCGGGGGGGGCATAAAAATCAACCTTATTTATCAGATTTATTAATAATTCCATCAAATATCTTTCTTTTATCTCCATGGCAATTTTTTGATATTATTTGCATCTTCGGCTGCAGCAGTTACTAACCTGGTTAGAATGGAGAGACTGCTGAGTCTGGACAGCTTTGGCTAATGTATCAAATGCCTTGGCTACAGACGATGTTGTAACAGTGGTGGTCTCAAACGGATGGGGAATCTGAAGATCCACTTCATCTTGGTTCTTTTTGCCCATGTTGGCAAGGGTAGTCACAACACTGGCTAGGGTACTCAGATCTGTACAAAACAAAACAGCTCGGGTGGTCAGAAATTAAACCAAGCTATACAGTAGATTGCAAAAAGCATTTTTTTTAGTCAAATACAATCACTGTCTCTAGGCAAATAACACTTTTTTTGGTCGTTCTTGAATACTTTGCAATTCTCAAATACCAGAACAACAAACTTGTTTCATGTCTAACAAGGTGAAAACACTAGAGTATCTAGGATGAAAAATCTCAAACAACCTATGGAAAGACTGAAGTAAATTTGATAATTTTTTCTGTGGTTTAAGCAACATTGAGTTGGTGGTATATGTAACCCCTGTCCTCCCCAAATGTATACAAGGTCATAAAAGGGATAAAAGAAATTGAAATACTTGGTTATGATCTGAACATGATTAAAGTGTGTAATCCAAAACCTGTTTCCATTACAACACAAAGCTTCTGAACCATGAAATATTTCTAACAGAGAAAGCTTTATATAATTATATCACAGGGTGTTTTATTAATATCTGGAGCAATTTAATTGAACAGTTTTAAACTACCGGAAAAATTTCCAAAACTGTTTACACATGACAATGTAGATTTTTTTAGACATCAAAACACTTCCCAAACGAGGAAAATGTGATCTACAAATAACTACAAAAATGTCACAATATCTTTCAATGCCAATAAAAATTTCATAATTTGAAAAGGCACATTAACGATATGTTTGGTATGATATTTGTAGAAATTTTATTTGAAAAGTCTTGAATTGTGTGATCTTTTAACATTTAATGAAGGTCCACATATATATACCTGTATTGGCCGTTGACTGTGGGGAGTTTGCACTCAGCACTAAAGACCCTTGGTCTGTTTGGACGATACGCTCCTGTAAGTTGGCCAGGAGATTAGATGCCGCTCGGGGCGTCATCTCTTCGGGGATCTGTGAGGACATAGGAAATGACTGTTCCTATTTAAAAAATTATTGATTTGATGTGACACATATAATATAAACATACACAAGTACATGTAGATACAACAAGGCTAACTAATGCGAGCAATTCATAGTCCTTAACCTTTTCACCACTGTAAAACATAATGGACTCATCCAGATCAATCCATGGAAGAGCTTACTTAAGTTGAATAGGGATGAAAGAGCCAGCGCCTGAATGTAGTATTGAAATGAACAAAGGGCCTTAACTCTGTATATAGTCAGAACATCAGACCCCTTAGAGGTACATTTGGATACAAATTTGACGATTGTAAATGAAAGTATATATGAGACATGAGATCCAATTTTAGGATGCTTGATAAAAGTTAATCTTACACATACACAAGTACATGTAGATACAACAAGGCTAACTAATGCAAGCAATTCATAGTCCTTAACCTTTTCACCACTGTAAAACATAATGGACTCATCCAGATCAATCCATGGAAGAGCTTACTTAAGTTGAATAGGGATGAAAGAGCCAGCGCCTGAATGTAGTATTGAAATGAACAAAGGGCCTTAACTCTGTATATAGTCAGAACATCAGACCCCTTAGAGGTACATTTGGATACAAATTTGACGATTGTAAATGAAAGAATATATGAGACATGAGATCCAATTTTAGGATGCTTGATAAAAGTTAATCTTACATATACACAGGTACATGTAGATACAACAAGGCTAACTAATGCATCAATTCATAGTCCTTAACCTTTTCACCACTGTAGACCATAATGGACTCATCCAGATCAATCCATAGAAGAGCTTATATATAATTACTTCAGTTGCATAGGGATGAAAGAGACAAGCTCCTGAATGTAGTATTGAAATGAACAAAGGGCCTTAACTCTGTATATAGTCAGAACATCAGACCCCTAAGAGGTACAGTTGCATACAAATTTGACAATTGTAAGTGACAGAATATATGAGACATGAGATCCAATTTCAGGATGCTTGATAAAAGTTAATCTGACATATTTTTAAATAATGACAGAAATTAATTTTCTGTCTTAATCCTTGCTATAATCATAGTCTATCAGCATGACTTGCTTTAAATTCATATTCGAATAAGTTTCAGTTGCACTATTTTTATTGACATTATATTCATCTTTCATATCTACAGAAGAGATTCACATTAAATATTCATATACTTTCACACTTTTTCAGGACAGGTTTACAGTCACAAGCCTTATGCAGACAAGAAGGCTTGTCGTATTCCGGTCAATTGAGTTCAGATAAAAATTGGTCGTATTCCGGCCAATTGAGTTCAGATAAAAATTGAAAGTTTTATTAAAAATTCTCTGCACGTTTTGGACACAGATACCTATTTTCAGCATGACGATATATTTATACATTATTCGGCATGACGGTATTTATACATAATAATAATAATAATTGGAGGTTCTTATATACCGCTTTATCACAACCTAGTTTGTAGGTTGTCTCAAAGCGGTTCACAAATTATTATCTGTGGTTATAGGGCCTTTGCAACCAGCAAGTACCTTTCTCAACTTCATGGGGAGCATACAGCCGGAGCTGTTATTTCGGCGCTAACAGCTAACAATTCTAGCACTGCCCAACCACGTAATCATTTACAGCTGAGTAGACTGGAACAAGCATAATCAGTAACTCACTTTGGTGGTGAAGGTGGGGATTGCGGCGGATGGACTGTTGAGGTCTTTCCTGATGTAGATCCTTTGTGTGGAGGTGGCTACAGTGGTCGGTACCTTTTCCTTCTCTGGAGGTTTACGCTCCTGTTGTACAGCTGTGGAATAAACAATGCCAGTGATAGAGTTGGGAAAGTTTACTCTCAACAAATTATTGGATAAGCATTTACGTACGCTTGTTTGTTTTCCATTTTCATTATTGTGATATCCAGCTATTTGTTTTATGTACTAAGTGCACCATCTGACATCACAAATTACTCCTGATAGTGCTGACTCGTTTCTCAACATTTACTTTATCATACCTTGAAACACCAGTTCTGGTGGTATTAATATTCTAACCTATGAAACAGCTGATGTCTTTAACTATTGAGTCCTGACTAACCCATTTATGGGTCAACTCCAAACATACTTGGCAATGTAAATGAACAAGAGCTTTTTGAAGAACAAAATAGCTTGTCTTTTTGAAGAAAACATGTAGGGGAAAAAATCTAACTTGCTTTTACTATCACAGCATCTGATATAACAGGAGTACCTGTACCAAATGTCACCATTGTTGTAGAATTATAAATGTTATGTAATATTTAGTGTGAATTCTGTCACCTGTACTAACACCTTAACCTGAAAATTCTGGTTTTGTAGAATTATAACTGTTACATAATATTTAGTGTGAATTCTGTCACCTGTACTAACACCTTAACCTAAAAATTCTGGTTTTGTCGAATTATAAATGTTATATAATATTTAGTGTGAATTCTGTCAGCTGTATCAACACCTTAACCTGGAAATTTTGGTTTTGTCGAATTATAAATGTTATATAATATTTAGTGTGAATTCTGTCACCTGTACTAACACCTTAACCTGGAAATTTTGGTTTTGTAGAATTATAAATGTTATATAATATTTAGTGTGAATTATGTCACCTGCACAAACAACTTAACCTGGAAATGTTGGCATACAACTGTTAGTATTCTAGGGACCCTCCCTGTCAATTGTCAACATCCTTGTGTAACTACTGAAGTTATAATGTAAAATTAATATCAGTACAATGTACTTGCACTAATCCCGACACCAGGGTGACACATTTGTTACCTTCTTCCCTATGATTGTTCTTCTACAGATCTCTACCAGTAAAACTGTCAAACTTGATTTTCTGAAGTAGCATAGAGTCAGGTGACTATCTTTAACATTACTCTCTATCAGTGAGGCAACAAATTCACAAAGGATATATTATGAGTAATAATATATAAAGATGACATGTGCAGAAAGATCAATTTTTCAATAAGTTCATAGTACATTTTATGATTTATATGTACATGTATACATACCATATTTATAGGCATACAATTTTTCATCAACTTCTCAAAAAATGTCAAACCTAGTATTTTGTTATATATATATACCTGTAGCAATACAAACCAAATTCTTATGAAAGATGTTTTAAAGAAAACTATTGTAAGGACTACAGATTCACAAATGGTAGCATGTACCCTTCAACTGCTGTTGCACTTAGATAACATTTAACTAAAATTGGTTTTAATGAAGATTTTGATTTGATGCTGAACCAGCAATGGAGAAAACAATTTAAAAGCATGATAGTGATGCTTATAAAGCATATAAGTTTCATTGCATATGATTTCCAATGCAATGGAACTTTCACCATTTCTAAGAGCAACAGTGCAGAATGAAAGGTAAATGCCTACCGGATGTTCCTGCCTCTGACAGGGACTGCTTACATTCAGATCTCATTCCCACAGCTAGACACTTCTGTAGACGACAGTACTGACATCGATTACGATGGGGCTTGTTCACCGGACAATCCTTGTTTCCTCTGCATGCGTACCCCAATTGCTTGCGTATACTCCTCTTAAAGAAGCCCTTGCAGCCCTCACAGCTGATCACTCCGTAGTGTCTGCCTATAAATCATAGCAACAAATCATTATAATAATTCTTCACTAGATCATTCAAGCAATAGTTGCTGACAAAACCTTTCAATATGTCTATTTTCTAAACATTTTCTGCAGGTTGGTAAGTATGGATTGTGAAAAGTTCTTTTTATTCAGAAAAAACTTCAAATATCATATTTACTAACGAAAAGGAACCAACTTAAAGCTTAATACTATATACACCATGAATATCTCAATGATCAGTCAATTTTTTTAAATTGATAAAATAGGGTTACATCAGGAAAAAACATGGAAATAATTCAGCCTAAACCACAACCCTGTTCTGTATGAAATATTGCAGTAATGTAACAACCTGACGCTTTGTCGCCACAGACAACACATGGTTCAAACTGTGTCTTCTGCTCAAATGGTGCTTTGTTGACCATTTTCTCTCTCATCTGGAGCTGTTCCTCTCGTAGTCGTTCCAGACGCTGGGTGTGCTGTAGTTCCTGTCAGTCAAAAGTCATTTTCATACTCTTTACAAGCTCTATAAACCAAAGTTACATAATTTACACAGATTTTATACACTATAAACAAATATTGGAGGTTAGCAGTTCAGTCTACTGTTGTGATACTAGTGACAGACCTAACTTTGAGTTGACTGTCAAGTCTATTGGTTGAGATACTAGCAACTGGTCTAATATTGAGTTTAGCGTCCCTGTCTATGGCTGTGATACCAGTATATTGGCCTTACTTTGAGTGGTGACCCTGTCTATGGCTCACGCTGTGATACCAGTAACTGGCCTTACTTTGAGTGACAGCCCTGTCTATGGCTGCGATACCAGTGACTAACCTTACTTATAGTTTGGCGGCCCTGTCTATAGCTGTGATACCAGTGACTAACCCTACTTTGAGTGGTGGCCCTGTCTATGGCTGTAATACCAGTGACTGGCCTTACTTTGAATGGCGGCCCAGTCTATGGCTGTGATACCAGTGACTGGCCTCACTTTGAGTGGTGGCCCTGTCTATGGTTGTGATACCAGTATACTGGCCTTCCTTTGAGTGGTGGCCATGTCTATGGCTGTGATACCAGTGACTGGCCTCACTTTGAGTGGTGGCCCTGTCTATGGTTGTGATAACAGTAACTGGCCTTACTTTGAGTGGTGGCCCTGTCTGTGGTTGTGATTCCAGTATACTGGCCTTACTTTGAGTGGTGGCCCTGTCTGTGATTGTGATACCAGTATACTGGCCTTACTTTGAGTGGTGGCCCTGTCTGTGGTTGTTATACCAGTATACTGGCCTTACTTTGAGTGGCAGCCCTGTATATAGCTGTGATACCATTGACTAATCTTACATTGAGTGGCGGCCCTGTCTATGGTTGTGATACGAGTATACTGGCCTTACTTAAATTTGGCTGCCCTGTCTATGGTTGTGATACCGGTGACTAACCTTACTTTAAGTTTGGCGGCCAAGTCTATGGTTGTGATACCAGTGACTAACCTTTCTTTGAATGGCAGCCCTGTCTATAGCTGTGATACCAGTCTACTAACCTTACTTTAAGATTGGCGGCCCAGTCTATGGTTGTGATACCAGTAACTAATTAACCTTACTTTAAGTTTAGCGACCCAGTCTATGGTTGTGATACCAGTGCACGTGACTAACCTTACTTTGAATGGTCGCCCTGTCTATAGCTGTGATACCAGTATACTGGCCTTACTATAAGATTTGCGGCCCAGTCTATGGCTGTGATACCAGCGACTGGCCTCACTTTGAGTGGTGGCCCTGTCTATGGTTGTGATAACAGTAACTGGCCTTACTTTGAGTGGTGGCCCTGTCTATGGCTGTGATACCAGTAACTGGCCTTACTTTGGGTGGTGGCCCTGTCTATGGTTGTGATAACAGTAACTGGCCTTACTTTGAGTGGTGGCCCTGTCTATGGCTGTGATACCAGTATACTAACCTTACTTTAAGATTGGCAGCCCAGTCTATGGTTGTGATACGAGTGACTAACCTTACTTTGAATGGCAGCCCTGTCTATATCTGTGATACCAGTCTACTAACCTTACTTTAAGATTGGCAGCCCAGTCTATGGGTGTGATACCAGTGACTAACCTTACTTTAAGTTTGGCGACCCTGTCTATGGTTGTGATACCAGTATATTGGTCTGTCTATGGTTGTGATACCAGTAACTGGCCTTACTTTGAATGGCGGCCCAGTCTATGGCTGTGATACCAGTGACTGGCCTCACTTTGAGTGGTGGCCCTGTCTATGGTTGTGATAACAGTAACTGGCCTTACTTTGAGTGGTGGCCCTGTCTGTGGTTGTTATACCAGTATACTGGCCTTACTTTGAGTGGTGGCCCTGTCTGTGGTTGTTATACCAGTATACTGGCCTTACTTTGAGTGGTGGCCTTGTCTATGGCTGCGATACCAGTGACTGGCCTTACTTTGAGTGGTGGCCCTGTCTATGGTTGTGATACCAGTGACTAACCTTACTTTGAATGGCAGCCCTGTCTATAGCTGTGATACCAGTCTACTAACCTTACTTTAAGATTGGCGGCCCAGTCTATGGTTGTGATACCAGTGACTAACCTTACTTTGAGTGGCGGTCCTGTCTATGGTTGTGATACCAGTATACTGGCCTTACTTAGAGTGGTGGCCATGTCTATGGCTGCGATACCAGTGACTGGCCTTACTTTGAGTGGTGGCCCTGTCTATGGTTGTGATACCAGTGACTGGCCTTACTTTGAGTGGTGGCCCTGTCTATGGTTGTGATACCAGTA